TTCAGAGAGTCTTGTCCTCCTCTGGGAAGCGTAGATTGCTTGGATTTCAGTGCAGAAGGTGACTGCTGTTGCTGGTAAGAGTGCCGCAGTCTCTGTGGTTGAAGGCCCACAGCCTGGTGGCCGATGCTTTGCTCCTCGTGGCTGCTGGTGCGGCCGTCTGCTGGCTTCTGTCACGCGCTGAGTTGGATGCGTTCTGTTGCAGAGGTGACCACGGTGACGGTGGCCAACGTGGGTGCTTCTGCAGACAACGTCTTCACTACGTCAGTGGCGAATGCAGCATCGATCTCAGGACACGTTCTGGTAAGGTGCACCCGAGGGCTTAACCCCGTGGCTTCTTAGCACCGACTCAGGGTGGTGGGTCCTGGTCTCCCTGGAGAGACCTGGAAGGTGGTGTGAAATCACATGTGTCCGCTCCTTGCCAGGGTTTGGCCTGACGGCATGTGGCAGAGCAGGGGCTCTCTGCTCTGGAGCTTTCTTTGCTGGGCTTAGAGGGGCCAGTCAGCTAAGGTGCAGCCACTTGGAGGCTGGACAGAGGTTTGGATTCAGCCAGAGACTCTTCATCGCTTGGCTTCTGGTGAGAAGTGCATGTGACAGACACATGGCTTCTCGGGTGGGGTCAGACACGTGGAGGAGCCGGAAGGGCCTGCGAGCCGTGTGGCTAGGATGGCACCGCTCCTGTCATCGCCAGGTGGGCTTGTGGTGTCCCAGAATGGGGGTGCCCAGCCCAAGGGCAGCGGGTTTCAGGGGGGTCGGATGCTCTGCGGCCCCCGGGTCAGCTCCTGTCTGGGGTCTGGCTCTGCCGTTTCTGCTCGTTGGTAGTGCTGTGAGCGCTGGAAGAGAAGCACCCGTGTCGTGCTCTTCTAACGCCGCTCCAGCAGGGACACCACAAGGGGGCGCTTCAGTGAACAGAAACTTCTGTCTCGCAGTTAGGAGACCTGGAGGCTGACTTCAGGCTCTCTGTCTGTCGCTTTTGGGGGAAGGTCCTTGTCTCAGCTTCTCTAGGCAGCCGTCCCTGGAGTTCCTGGGCTTGAGGATGGGTCTGTCTCCATTGTCTTCAGATGGTGTCTGTCCTCCCCTGTGTCTGCCTTCTGTGCCTTCTCTGCTCTTTTATATCTCAAAAAGTGACTGGCGTAAGACTCACTGTATGCCGATATGGTCTCGTTGACATAACAAAGAAAACCCTGTTCCCAAACTGGATTACATCCACAGGTACAAAACCAAAAACCAAACTTGTTGCCATTGAGTCGATTCCAACTCATAATGACCTTACAGGACAGAGTAGAACTGCCCCATAGGGTTTCCAGGGAGAGGCTGATGGATTCAAACTGCTGATGTTTTGGTTAGCAGCCAAGCTCTTAACCACTGTGCGACCAGGGCTCCATCCATGGTTATAAATCCAAAAAGACCAAACCCATTGCTGTCGAGTCAATTCTGACTCACAGGGGTTAGGATTCCAATGCGTATTTTGGGGGGACACAAGCCAGTCCATAATAGCCTCATGCTGTCTTGGTGAGCACAGGTGCTGGGCGGGTGTGTGCGTGAGTGTGTGTGTGCGTGCACGTGTGTGCACACGCGCACATGGTTTCTCTCGACTCTGCAATAAACTGCTCACTTCCACGGATTCTTAAGTGTTCTGTTGGATGAGGTTCAACAGCTGTATATCCTGTGTAACCACAACCATAAACAAGGTAGAACATACCCATCTCCCCAGAAAATTCCCTCATGCCACTTTTTGACTTGTATCAATGTAGATGGATTTTGTCTATTCTCAAAATTACATAAATGGAACCTTACAGTATGAACTGTTTTGTGTTTAACTTGTTTTCACTCAGAATAATGTGTTTTTGAGATCAGTGTTTATGAGTGTATCAGTAGATGGTTCTTTTTATTGCTGAGTAATATTCCGTTGAAAAATATACCACATTTTGTTTATCTGTTCTCTGTTAATGGCATTTGGATTGTTTACAGGTTTTGAGGATTATGAGATTTATGAGGATTATAAGTCTGTCTGTAGACATATGTTTTCGTTTCTTGTTAATTCCTGAGAGTGCAATGGGTGGGTCATAGGGTATGTGTGTGCTTAACACTGTAAGAAACTGCCCAACAATCCTTCATCAGCAGTGATTAAGAGTTCCAGGTGCTCCGTGTACTTGCAACATTCATTTGGTTTTATTTTAGCCATTCTAGTCGGCGTGAAGTAGTATCTCATTATGGTTTTAATTTTCATCTCCCTATGACTAATGATGTCAAGCACCTTTTCATGTACTTATGGGTCATTCGAAAACCGTGGTGGCGCAGTGGTTAAGAGCTATGGCTGCTAACCAAAAGGTCAGGGGTTTGAATCCACCAGGTGCTCCTTGGAAACTATGGGGCAGTTCTACTTTGTCCTATGAGGTTGCTGTAAGTTGGAATCAACTTGATGGCAAAGGTTTTTCTTTTGGTATGGACCATTCATATATCTTTTTTTCTGAAGTGCCTGTTGAAGCCATTTGCCGGTCATTCATCTTTTTATTGTTGATTTGTAGAGAATCTTTACATATTCTGGACCCACATGAAGGTGACATTTGAAGATATAAAAAGAAGTTGTTCTCTCACTGTGCCTCAGTTGGTTTTATTCTAAATGAAAGCATTAGAGAGCCCCAGAATGTTGGATTTGAACAGGGCCTTGGAGGCCATCTGGTCTACCCCACGACTGTGTAAATGAGGCCTTTGGGCCCAAGTTTGCTGGATGACCCCAGAGGTGTCACTGGTGGGGAGGCTGGCCGGTTCGCAGGGCAAGTGGGGCAAGCCTGAGGGAGTCGCAGCTGTCACGGAGACCCTCAGCCCACGTGGGGATGTGTGTGAGCTGCCCTGAGGCCCAGGCCCTGGTGGGTGTGTGGAAGAACTCCTGATGGAACATGGGCGTGTGAAGGGAGTCCTGGACTGGGCTGTGGCCCTGAGGGTCGATCTGGTCTCTCAGAAACCCTCCCTAAGACCCGAGACCTTGCAGCAGCCTCTCAGGGAGAAAGTAGGGTTTTCCTGCTCATGGGGCCTGTCTGTGGGACACGTCCGGTCTTTAGATTTCTTTATGAGTGCCGGTGAGCGCGTTGCTTGGGGCAGAAGACTGCATATTGTCTTGTTGTGGACTCTGTTTTTAAGTCATTCAGAGACAACTTTGAAAGGGGTGTGATGCTTGGGCAAACGTTTCCTTTTTGGAGAAAAACAGTTAAGAGGATTTTGTTGTGGGCACCACCTCCTATTGAGTTAACCTGCGTATCCCCCGGGACTGTCACTTGAGGTAGCTCTAAAGCCGTGTCCTTTCTTCCACAGTCGGGCAGGACGGCCCTTCAGATCGGGGATAGTCTGAACACTGAGAAGGCCACCCTGATCGTCGTCCACACTGACGGGAGCATTGTCGAGACCACTGGGCTGAAGGGGCCGGCAGCTCCGCTCACCCCAGGTAGCATGTCACCGTCCCCGCCGAGCTCCTGAGACAGAGCACGCTGGCGAGCGTGCATGATTTATTCTGAGGACTCTTTTGGTGGTCGTGGAGTATCCATGGGTATGACTGAATTTGGGTAGGCAAAATGGAGTTTTCCAGGCTGAGCCAAGGCATGGCCCCAAATCGAAGGAAACAGTGTGGCTGAGTTGGGACCTACCATTGGACTCGGACTGAGGTTATTGTACTTCTTTAGCTGTGGATGCAGCCAGTGTTTCTTATTCTCAAAATGCTCTCTTTGTCCAAGGTCCTCAGTCTCCTCCGACCCCTCTAGCCCCTGGCCAGGAGAAAGGTGGCACCAAGTATAACTGGGACCCCTCGGTGTATGACAGCGAGCTCCCCGTGAGGTGTCGGAACATCAGCGGCACACTGTACAAGAGCAGGCTTGGCTCAGGTGAGGGCGTGTGGCTCAGGTGAGGGCTTGGCTCAGGTGAGGGTGCAGGGCTCGCCAGGTTGGCCTTCACAGCCAGCACAGGGCCTCCACTCCCTTTGACTCGATGGTCTGTCCCTTTCTATAATCTCCTCGAGAAATGTGGGGCAAAGTAGGACTGTAATGGTACGTAAAAGTAGTTAAAAAGACAAGAGATGGAAGTAGTGCCCAGTACTTCTGGCCTAGAGGTGAGGCTGTGGGGAGAGATGGGGTAGGCACGGGTTTGAGGATGGTTTAGAAACAGAGTTGACAACATGAGGTGACCCATGGGCTGGGAGAGGCAGAGAGGGGCAGGGAGGACTGGTCAGCTTGGCCACTCGTGGGCAAGGGGTTTTGGAAGTGGGGCAGGTGTTACGGGTCCAGCTTGAGTCTGAGGCGGCTGTGGGACAGGAGGTGGGGGGAGCACAGTCCTCACACGTGGATCCAAGGTGGAGAGTTGGTCCCGGGTGGCCTGTCGGGGTTCAGCTATGGGAGTGGGGAGGTCACCATACCCCTGACGGAGAGCAGACAAGGAGGTGGAGAGGTGAAGGGGTGCCCGAGAAGACCACCCTGGTGTTAGCAAGCGTGCTGGCCCTCAGTTTCTGAAATGATGGGAGTCTTCATTCTGATTGTTGCACCTGCCGTTTCAGGGGGCCGGGGGCGTTGCATCAAGCAGGGTGAGAACTGGTATAGTCCCACGGAGTTTGAAGCCATGGCGGGAAGAGCTAGCAGTAAAGACTGGAAAAGAAGCATCCGCTATGCAGGAAGACCGCTGCAGTGCCTCATTCAGGTAGCATCCCAGTGTCTCGGCATGGGGGGAGGGTGGAAGGATAGGCCTCCGGGGCCTTCCGAGGCCGCCAGCCCCCAGCGAGGAGCAGACTGGAGCCAGATCGGCTGCGTCTGGGACCTGGGGCACGTCCCTTCCCGTCCCGACTCTCAGGTCCTGGTCCTTCAGGTGGGCTGGCGAGGGTCGTGTCTGCCACAGGACTGTTCTGAGAGCTGGGGAGTGCGGGTGAGTGTGAGCCCTTAGAGCTGCCCCTGTCCAGAGGACACACGGGGAAGGAGAATTTAAATACAGTGTAAAAAAGAAAGATAAGGACAAGCGACATGTTTGAGTAGAAGTCAAGTTAACAGTTCCCGCAGCAGTGCGTGTAACTTTCCGTTCACGCATACGAAATAGTACTTACAGTTACTATTTCCTGTTTAATTCTTGGGTGTGGCTAAGGAAATAGTGCTTGCGGGATCCTTTGGCATCCTAGAAGGAAAGACTTAGGTAGGCTCCGACAGGTGTGAGGAAGAGAACATCCTGGGAATGAGGGTTCTTTGTTTCTCAAAATGTTCATCTAGTGAATGCAGCTGGGTGGAAACACACTGACATCCCCAGTGCTGAGCGATCCGCGGTGAAGGGCTGACTCCTGATGGGTCCTGGTTTTCCAATTTCAGGACGGGATCTTAAACCCACATGCTGCCTCCTGCACCTGCGCTGCCTGCTGCGACGACATGACCTTAGTAAGTTGTCAGACCGCCGCCCCAGTGCTTGGCGGGACCTAGAGCCGCCTGCAGGAGCCCTGCCCCGCGTCTCAGCGTCTCTGATTCCTCGCGCCTTCCTAGGGCTGCTGTTGTCCCTGTGTCCGCAGCATGCCCCCCGCTCGCCTGGGAGTCCTTGCACCTCTGCGCTTTCTCGCACACCTGTCTGTCATTCAGACAATAATGTGGCAGCTGGTGCCTTGGGTGGTGCACGTGATCAGCCCTCAAATGACTGCTGAGAGAACATTAAAGGAGAAGTTTTAAGTCATAAAAAGCTCCTATAGTGTCACCGTCTTAACCCAAAAACTAAATACACAAACTTTTTATCATGGTTAGAATATATTATAGGATCCCTGGTGGCACAGTGGTTAAAGCTCTCAGCTGCCAACTGAAAGGTCAGCGGTTCAAACCCACCAGCTGCTCCACAGGAGAAGGACACGGTGGTCTGCTTCCGTAAACATTTGCAGCCTTGGAAATCCCGTGGGGCAGTTCTACTCTGTCCTACAGGGTCGCTGTGAGTCGGAATCAGTTGGATGGCAGTGGGTTTGGTTTTGGTGTAACATATACTCTACAACAATGGGTTTTGGTTTTTTGTTATACTTGGCATATTTTAACATTCTCCCGTAAAAACGCTATACTAAATTTATTCACGTATAGAGCTTTTCATGTATCTCTTGAAATATTTTCCTAAGCTTCTAACTGCTTCAAAAAGAATGAACATTTTCATTGATTTTGATATATATTGGTGTATAATTTTGAAAAGCATTATGATAATTTTAATGTGTGAACATACTAATCTCATTACAATCCCTTTTAGTGTTGGATATTATAATTTTAAAACATTTTAAGATTAATAGCTGCTTAATGAGATCTTATTTTAACTTGATAACTTGTCTGGTTAATTATCAGAAGATACAAAAGAAAATTCAACTGGAAAGACATACTATGATCTTGGATGTAAAAACTAAACCTTCTAAAATTATTTAGTTCATGTATAGATTTAATGTGAAAAAACCAATAGGATATTTTTGTGAAAACATCTGGAATGACTGATAGGTGAGACTCAGAAATATCGTGGGAGAGAGAACAATAAGGGGATTTATATCATTAGGAAGTTTAGACTGCATGGATGTACCATTGATAATTGCTTCAAAACAATAAAATACTTAGATGTTAATCTAACAAAACGTGTAAAGGATATGTATGCTGAAAACTAGAAAATGCTGATGGAAGAAACCAGAGAAGACCAAGTAAACAGAGAGGCACACTGTGCTTGTAGATTAAGACTCAGCCTGGTAGAGATACCACTTCTGCCCGGTTGGTCTCTGTGTTTAATGCAAGTCCTATCTGAATCCTAGCAGGATTCTTTGTAGATATAGACAAGCTGATTCTCAAATGTGTATGGTAAGGCAAAGGAAATAAAATAGCCAAAACAGTATTGGAAAAGAAGAAAAAATCAGAGGAAATGCCTTGCCTGATTTTAAGACTAGCTACATAGCTACTTTGTCTCCAACTTTTGCATTCCAATCACCAGTAATTATCAATGCATCTTGATGCTGTAGTTGGAAAATATGGCCTTGGTGATAGAAACGATGTTGGAGATCACATGATAGAATTTTGCAAGACCAACAACTTATTCATTGCAAATACCTCTTTTTAACAACATAAACGGCGACTGTACACATGGACCTCGCCAGATGGAATACATAGGAATCACATTGACTACATGTGTGGAAAAAGATGGTGGAGAAGCTCAATATCATCAGTCAGAACAAGCCCAGGGGCTGACTGCAGAACAGACCATTAATTGCTCATATGCAAGTTCAAGTTGAACTTGAAGAAAATTAGAGCAAGTCCACGAGAGCCAAAGTATGACCTTGAGTATATCCTGCTTGAATTTAGAGACCATCTCAAGAATAGATTTGACGCATTGAACACTAATGACCGAAGACCAGACGAGCTGTGGAATGGCATCAAAGACGACATACATGAAGAAAGCAAAAGTTCATTAAAAAGAAAGAAAGGACCAAAATGGATGTCAGAAGAGACTCTGAAACTTACTCTTGAACGTAGAATAGCTAAAGTGAAATGAAGCAATGATGAAGTAAAAGAGCTGAACAGAATATTTCAAAGGGTGACTCAAGAAGACAAATTAAAGAATTATAATGGCATGTGCAAAGACCTGGAGTTAGAAAACCAAAAGGGAAGAACACACTTGGCATTTCTCAAATAGGTAGAATAGTAGAGAAAATACAAGCCTCGAGTTACAATATTGAGGGATTCTATGGGCAAAATATAGAATGATGCAGGAAGGCTCTAAAGAAGATGGAAGGAATACACAGAATCACTGGACCAAAAAGAATTGGTCAGAATTCAACCCTTTCAGGAGGGAGCATATGATCAAGAACCGATGGTACTGAAGGAAGAAGTCCAAGCTTCACGGAAGGCATTGACGAAAAACAAGGCTCCAGGAATTGACGGAATGCAAATTGAGATGTTTCCGCAAACAGATGCAATGCTGGAAGTGCTTACTTGTCTATGCCAAGAAAATTGGAAGACAGCTGCCTGGCCAGTCGACTGAAAGAGATCCATATTCATGCCCATTCCAAAGAAAGGTGATCCAGCAAAATGCAGAAATTATCGAACAATATCATTAATATCCCATGCAAGTAAAATTATGCTGAAAATAATTCAAAAACGATTGCAGCAGTACATTGACAGGGAACTTACTGGAAATTCAAACTGGATTCAGAAGAGGATGTGGAACAAGGGATGTCATTGCTAATGTCAGATGAATCTTGGCTGAAAGCAGAGACTACCAGAAAGATGTTTACCTGTGTTTTATTGACTATATAAAGACATTTGACTGTGTGAATCATAACAAATTATGGATAACATTTCAAAGAATGGGGATTCCAGAACACTTTAATTGTGCTCATGAGGAACCTGTACATAGACCAAGAGGCAGTCGTTCAGACGGAACGAGGAGATACTGCATGGTTTAAAATAAGAAAAGGTATGCATCAGGTTGCATCCTTTTACCATACTTAATCTGTGTGCTGAGCAAATAATCCAAGAAGCTGGACTGTATGAAGAAGAACATGGTGTCAGGATTGGAGGAAGACTCATTAACAACCTGTATTATGCAGATAAGACAGCCTTGCTTGCCGAAAGTAAGAGCTTGGAGCACTTACTGATGAAGATCAGAGACTACACCCTTTAGTATGGATTACACCTCAACATAAAGAAAACAGAAATCCTCACAACTAGACCGAGAAGCAACATCATGATAAATGGAGAAAATATTGAAGTTGTTAAGGATTTCATGCACACTGGAAGAGACAGGTTGAGAGACCAGATGCTACTGACCTCACCCAGTACCTTCACTAAAATAGTCCAGCTAAGTTACTGAACAAATGAACAAGAAAACATCAACAAAAACAAGAAGAGGGAGAAAAACAGGCAACAGCAACTGCCTATGTGATGGCCCAGATGTTGGATTTAACAAAGACTTCAAATCGACCATTATAAGCATGGTCAAAGAGCTAAAGGAAACCACACTCAAAGAGTTAAAGGAAGATGTGATGGCAATGTGTCATCCAAGACAGAATATCAATCGAGAGATAGAAATTATGAAAAATAACCAAATGGAAATTCTGGAGTTAAAAAATACAGTAACTGAAACGAAAATTTCACTAGAGAAGCTCAACAGTAGATTTGAACTGGCAGATGAAAGAATCAGCAGAGTAGAAGGTAGATTGATAGAGACTGTTTATGAAAGCCAAAGAATAGAGGACAGAAAAACAAAGAACAATGAACCAGAGCCTCAGAGAAATGTGGGCATCGTTCAGCTCACCAACATATGCATAATGGAGTACCTAAGGGGAGGAGAGAGAGAAAGAAAAAGTATTCCAAGAAAGAATAGCTGAAAACTTCCCAAATTTGATGAAAAACATTACACGTCTAAGATGCTCCATGAATTTCCATTAGGATAAATGCAAAGAGATCTACACCCAGGCACATCCTAGTAAAAATGCTGGTAGCCAAAATAAAAAAACGTCTGCTTTGTAAAAAAAACTCCGTTAAGAAAATGAAAAGGCAATTCACTGACTGGGAGAAAACGTTTGCAAATCACAGATCTAAAAAAAGGCTTGTATCCAGAATATATAAAGAACCCTCTGAACTCAAAAGTAAGTAAAGAAACAACCAAATTACAAAATGGGCAAAAGCCCCAAACAGACACTTCACCAAAAATGATACATGGATGGCAAATAAGACCCTGAAAAGATGCTCAACATCATTAGTCATTAGGGAAATGTAAATTAAAGCTACAATGACATAAGTCAACATATCTATCAGATGACTAAAATAAAACTGACAGTTCTAAGTGCTGACAAGGATGCAGAGCAACTGGCACACTCATTCATTGCTGATGAGAAGCAAAATGGCACAGCCACTCTGGAAATCAGCCTGGCAGTTTCTTATAAAATCAAACACACGCTATCCTACAACCCAGCAATTGCACACCTAGGTATTTATGCTAGGGAAATGAAAACTTAAATGTTCACACAAAAAAACTGTGCATAAATATTGATAGCAGCTTTGTTGATGATAGCCAAAATGCATGGTAGAGGCTCAAAAAATAGATCATCTGCCTGTAAGAATTGAATACATGATAAATTTCTGCAAATGAGGAGAAAGAAAGAATAATAATACATAGTGTGTGATGGTAAGTGAATAATTCATCTTATACTTTATAAAACAAAATAAATACCAAGCTTATAGAGTTAAATGTTATTCCTTTAGGGAATATTTGTTGATGGTTATGGGCCAGATCCTGAACAAGACCCACCTGACTCCTGCCCTCCCAGGCTTGGCCTGTAGGGGCAGCCACACCGTATGGCGCCCCCTGCAGTTGGGGAAGTATAGGGTCGAGAGAAATGGGTGACAGGAACAAGCTAAGAATGCCTTCTGATTTTAAG